TGAGAAGGGCTATTTAATGAAATGAAATACTACTCTGTCACAACTTCCTTACTCACAATTCAATCATGGAAAATTCTTCCCCAGTGCTGTCACTGAAATCATTACATCCAGAATTAAACATGCTGTAATAGAGCAGGCGACAATACCCTGAGGTACTATTGACATGTCAGGTCTCACATTAATAATCACCTTTTCCATACAGTGAATATGAAAAGGTCCACAAACCTGGATTCTTTTTTTCTCCCTTTGGATTGAATGTAATAGCCACCTGCTCCTGATTTGCTTTCACACGCTGGTCTGGCACCACACGGCCTGACCTATCATCAGTGTTGCTCACCCTTTTCCCTTCAGCCGCTGACATCACCCTAGAAGTCTTCCCAACTCAAATCCCGTGGAGCCCTGAGACCCTCTCTGCAGGCTCCTGCCTGCTAGGTCTTCTTTATCCCCACCAGGCATTAAGCCCTTGGATTCATACTTCTTTCTTACTTACACATCTGCCTTCCACCACAGTGTATCTCCTCAGTCTTCTCCTGACTCATATCCCTTCAGGTTGTCCCACTTTTCTTCCTCTCTTGGCTTTCTTCATCTTTGTAATCCCTCCAGCTCTCTTCCCCTTACCTCCATGAGGCAGCATGATGCAGGGAGAGGAGAACAGCCTTCACAGCACAGAGACCTTGGTCCAAGCCCTGTCTCCTCTCTGCCTAACCACTCGATATCCTGCAAGTGACAACCTCCTGAAGCCTCAGTTTCCAATCTGTGAAAAATCCCTCACAGGAATGTTGTAAGGACCCCAGGAAACAAACCTTTATTCCTGTCACTTTAATTCCATCTCTATGTGAAAGACCTTGACAACTGTTAGAGCAATAAAATTAAACATTTTAGGTATGTATAGTGAAATCAATAAAAAGTTACAACTAACTTGCTATGTCTTCAACATTCTGAGACTGTGAGAAATTTAGCTCACAAGCTTCAAGGAAACTAAATGTTAACCTAACAGTAAATTTAGCTCACAAGCTTCAAGGAAACTAAATGTTAACCTAACAGTAAATGTTGTTGGTTTAATAACAAATTTCTCTTTGAAAGAAAAAACAAGGTGATAGTATTTTCTTCTTAGGCCCGAGTCTGAGACTCTGCATCTGTGATAAATTACCCCTTAAGTAACTAAAATGTAAAATAATCTAAGGCAAAGTCAGCAAAGCTTTATTGTAAGGGGCAGATAAATAAACATTTTAGGCATTGTAGACCATGTGGTATCTGTTGTAGCTACTCAGCTCTGCTGCTATAGCACAATAATACACAAATGAATAAGTTGGACTGTGTTCCAATAAAACTTTATTTACACAAAGTGGTAAGCTACATTTGGGCCCTGGACATGAATTAACCAACTCCTGCCCTGGGGCATTAATGAAAATTGCAATGACAATTCAGAAAATCAGAAATTATCAAGAGGTAAAGGTTTCAGGTAATTCTTCCATGATAATTCCAGAATTACTAAGGCTTTTTCAGTTAGTAAGGAACACCACCATGTATGTGCATGTGTTTTGTGTGTGTGGCAGGGTGGCCTGTAGTTTTCCTTACAGAAATATTAGTCAGCTCAAGATTTTGGAACCCAGAATAAACTGACTTTTGAAAGTAAAGAGATTTGGGTTCCATAGCTTTGTTGTCTGAACCTACCCTGGCTTCCCACTTCTGGAGCAGAGACGTCAGAAAGCCAGAGAAAACAGGGAAATAATAATAACTGCCGGTTATTAAACTGCCTTTCTCATCACCAACTCTGACCACTGTTATCCCCATTTTACAGAATAAATGAAGGTTTCACTGAGAGAGGCTGAGTGATTCACCCATACCCACATAGCAAATGTTGGAGGCAGCTCTCCCTGCGGCCACAAAAGCTCCCTGCTCTGGGGCACCCACCTCTCTTCAGATTTAGAAACAGCAGGGTTAAAATTGCCTCTTCTTCCTTTTATCTTTACTTCCCAGTAGTTGTTTCAAACACAACCAATAAATATCCCCTGAGTCAGCCTGTGTGCCAGGCATGAAGCTTCCATTATATTATGAAATTTATTTTCCTTCCATTTCCAGAACTAAACTGCAAAGAGACAAGAAAATGAAAGCTTAGACAATTAAGAAATCTGCCCAAGGAAGCATCAATAGTTAATTGTGGAGTCATAACTTGAACATGGTTCTCACCAACTACAAAGTGTTTTCTGCACATATAACTGCTGTGGCGCTTAATGGTAATACTCACATGCTCTCAAGACAGACTGGATTCAAATCTCAGCTCCCCCACTTACTAGTGGCTCACCTTGAGCCCCACATAGTCCCAAGAATACCACCTATACATTGTAGCACCTTGGCAGAAAAACATTTTAAAAGCCTTATCAGATTTGTGATAATTTTCATTCTGAGTGATGATTAACTGATACACCTAATACATAGCAAAGCACTGGCATTCTAGTCTTTCTCCCTGTCTTACACGGTGTAAATGACCCTGTGTCTTAGTTTCCTAATTTGTCAAATTAGAATGATGATCATGATTTCCGTCCCACAGTTTGTTACACATAATAAGACAGTAACATAATACATAGCGCATGCATTGCCTTTTTCTATAGACTATAAGCTCTATGATCACAGGAGTCTGTCTTATTCACTGTTGTATCCCTAGCACTTAGAATAACTCCTAGCACATAGCAGGCAATATTTTTGCGTAAATGAAAAGTTTTCAAACAAACAAGAATGCTTAAATTAGGTTATGTCTGGGTTCAAAGAAAATTTTTTTTTGTATAACGTGAATTTGATAGGTCAAATTTAATGAATCTTTGAAATCATAATTTGTAATAATGGAAACTAGTAATTGTCTTCATGATTTCAATGTTCCCAACAAAAATGGATGTTAGTACAAAGATGATGTTGAGGCTCATGGCATGTTGCATGTAGTTTCAGATACATTCTCCTAGTTCTTTGCTAGTCCCAAAGGAGCATTCTTATGTAATTCATTTCAAAATCCCTTCCATCCTTTGGGGTGGGTGGAGGTGGAGGAGGGTATTGGGAGATAAATGGTAATGGAAAAAATACAGTAAAAAATAAGCTATTTAAAATTATTTTAAAAATAATAAAATCCTGTTCATCGTTTTTTCTTAAAAAAATCATGTCTGTCATTACTGCATTGATTTTATCTCTGAAAGTTTATTTTTACCATACCTGTGTCATAGTTAATGCCTTGTATTTTAAATTCAAGCCAGTATTTAGTGACAACAGCTACTGTGATAAATGAATTATGGTCGTATTTAGCTGGCAAGACTGATTGCCTTTGATGTCTACACTTCAACAGTGATGAGGGCTGTAGAGGGCAACAATGCCTCCGGGGAAAAGGGCAACCTCACTCCCAGTTGATCATGCACAAAGAGGAGCATAAACAGGAAATACTGGGATGAAGATATATTTGGAACAAACAGCTTTTTAAAGTAGAATTTTGTGCAGGTTTCTCAGAAGCTGAGCCCCATAGAACACCACCTAGACCCTGTTGCACTTTGGCAGAAAACCATTTTTAAAGCTTTATCAGATTTATGATAACATTCATTCTGAGTGGTGATTAACTGATACCCTTAATATACAGCAAAGCACTGGGGTTCTAATCTTTCTCCCTGTCTTGCACTGTGTAAATGATTTTCATTAAGATTAAGGCTCTCACAGCGGTAACTTATGCAACCACCTCCTCAGAATGCTCTATCTCCAACAAAATACCTACCAAAGAATAATTTAAAGACCTCAGTAATTGCAGAAGCTATAATGAAGCACCATTTTTGTTTGTTTTAATGTAATATCCTCTGTGTTTTTTATATAAAACAATTGAAGTGAATAAGTTTTGTTCTTGAAGTTTCTTCTGTTTACAATCAAAATAATGTGCAGTCTCAGTCTGATAGGCATTTTTCTTCAAGTGAAGAAAAATTACATATTGAATATGTTTTGGAAGTGTGTGTGATGGAAAGATTTGCTTTGGTTTAAATTATTGATGCACTTGATTATCTTATAAACTGAACTGTAAATTAAACTGTCAGTAAAAGAGTTAAAGAATGCTGAGGTTCACTTTGTATATTCAGTGAAGACTTTGATTTTTCAGGAACCTGTTGGTAAAATATAGTTATGAGATTAACATATGAAATAAGAGTTTGGTCCAAAATGGCAGTAATAAAGAGAAATAAGATCTACCCTGAGATAGCTTATGTATAAAGAATGATGAGCCTGGAAAAATGGTAACATATAATGATGTTTAATCTACTACTGAAGTAACAGCTGAATATTTGTTATGCATAAGAAGTGGTGTACAAAGCATCCTTACTGATGAAGAAAAAGAGAAGGAAAGGAGAATTTATAAAGGTCAAGTAATTTGCCAGAAAATGCAAGGCTAGGGAAATAGTAAAGCCAAGATTCAAACCAAGATAATTTACCTCTGAAGGCTGAATTCTTGCCTATGACATACTCCTAAATCATTGAGATTGTCAATAAACACATATTTTGGCTGAGTATGAAAATGGTTCATATGACAACCTATAAATATAAACACATTATGGGTAATGTAACAAATAATAAAATTATATCCAGAATAATAAAAGAATGCCTTATATCCTTAAAAAAGCAACTTTAACTTTTAGAGGGCAGAATTTTAGGAAATGATAATTTCACAGTACCCCATAAACTCCATTTTTGTTTTTGAATTCCAGATTAGTATTTCTATGTCTTACTTGAATTCACTGTCTAACCAACCAAAAAAAATTCCTATAAATATTGGGGGTTTTAGCTAGACATGACAAATCTGAGCCTCAAAGTGGTTAAGAAAATGGACTACTGTCATGTAGCTAGTTGGTAGCAGAAATGAAATTCGACCCAATTCTTATGATTTCAAGTCTAATAAATTATTTTCCACCTTCAACTATAAGATGACAGAGTGGGAACAAAACTGGTTTATGAAATCTACTCAAAACTGTTCTGTCTTCTCACAGGGCGCTACCCTCAAAAAAACAAAGGAACCTACATTCCCGTTCCTGTCGTTTCGGAGCTGCGAAGTGGCAAGTGGGGGGCCAAAGTCATCACGAGAGAGGACAGGTCTGTCCGGCTGTCCATCCAGTCCTCTCCGGAGTGCATTGTGGGGAAATTCCGCATGTACGTTGCCATCTGGACTCCCTACGGAATAATCCGCACCAGCCGGAACACAGAAACGGACACGTACATTCTCTTCAATCCTTGGTGTGAAGGTAAAGGGCAGGTGTTAATTTTTCTCCTAAAAAATAGTTCATATATTTACAATGCTTCTCTTTTTTTAGAGTTATAGTGAAATTATTCAAGAAGACATGTTCCTTTTCTACATACACTTTTTCCCCAAGATTAAAAGACAGAAAAAGATGAGAAACTTGTCCTTAACGTATATGAGGACAAAATTTGTATGTATGTATGTGTATATATATCATTAATGCTGCTATACATTTATTCCAGGAAATGATTAAAGATAGCCTAAAGTTGCACAATTAGTTAATGTTAAATCATATGTTGATGGCATCACCTCTGTGCTTGCGATTGCTCTGGGAACAAAATAGGTTTATTAAACTTGACTTTCAAAAGTATTAAGATCCATAATCTGGTTTCAGAAAAATACAATACAAGAAAGTTGATCCTGTCCATAGTGAAACTAATTTCTCTACATCTATAATTCAAGAACAGAAAGCCTTAATGTCTAAAGAATCCCATAAATTTGTTTATATGCATAGTGGATACAAAGTTCATGAACTGTAACTCTGGATGTGCAAACATATAACTTTATTTTTTTATAATACAACTTGATCTCTGTTGCTCTTTTGAGTCACTGCAGAAGCTTAACCTAGTTATGTTTAAATAAACTCAGTTAAGTCCAAGGATTTCTCTATCAATTCAGTTTAAAGACTCAGTCACGCACAATGTTTTCTACCTTTCTCTCTCTGCCCCTGCTTCCATACTGGCGTAGGGCTGATTTTACTTCCAGAGGCAGCAGCACTAGTGGGTGAGGGCCCATTTTTAGATCTTGAGAAAAAAGTAATAAAACAGGTAAAAGCTGACATAGGACAGGGGACTTCTCACATCATATTACTCCAAATGTATTGTTCTCTAAAACCTTCCAAAATGAGGCAATAGTATTGCTAAGTTTGAATGACCCTTGTTTGTGAAAGCTGCCTTTGAATCTGGGTTGATCTGCACATAGATAATAAGTGAACAACAACGTTTTCTGTGCGTTTGTAACAATTAATATGTATACTACTGATCTTTTTTCTGAATTATCTTTTCCACTACTGTTCTGAGCTTAATTCCATACTCCCCGCCCACCACTCCTATTATCTCATACCCAGTAATCTTATCTATGTGACAGATGATCATGGTTGATGATAACACATTAACTGGCCACCTGTGGTTCAAAGATAAACTCCTGTTTACAGTAATCTTGTCAACCAGATAGAAGGCATTCCGCAACTGAGTGAATGGGGTGTTATTTACAGGGATGGAAAAGACTGAGAGGAGTAAAGGCCTAGAGACAAAGATTTTGACAATGTTAAGTTAGAGATAACTTTAGGTGTCAAGCAGAAATGGCAGGTGGGTACCTGGATATGTGAGTATGGTGATGAAAATCAGAGATCATATTTGGGAGTTATCTGCACCTAGGGAAAAAATGTGGATAAAGAAAGAAAGAAGGTGTATTACTAAGTCCTAAATAACACCAACATTTAAGATTCTGATACAGAAAGTATCAGCAAAGGAGAATAAAATGGAGGAGTACATAGGAAGTGACCTACTGTAAGAAAATTTAATTGAAAAAATCCATACTTATAAAATAAATAAGACTGGAATTTGTTATGGACTATCTTTGCATTGCAAAAGGAAAATTATGTAATGATCCAGCACCCTGAGATATTTAAAGAATCATATGATTTACCTAGACTTTGCTTTATTTGCTGCTTTATGGATTACATCATCTGTGTAAAATGGGATATATGTCTACACTCATTTCAACCTATGTGGCCAGTCTTCTAGAGGTGGGAAGAGTTAGTCCTGTTGTCTTGCATATTAACTTTACAGGAGAAATATTCAGGAGGTAGAGAGTCTAATAAGCTTTGACTACCCTGCCTTCAGTTGTATTCATGGTGAGCAGCTTCTGGTGACCTCTATTTGGAAAAAGTCACCTAAGTGGCCCCAGCATTAGATGCCGTATTGCAGAAAAGGAGCAGGGGGACCACCCTAGATATCACCAACTAGGGGAAGGTGAGATTAAAGCAAAGAAGTCAGTTTGAAAGCTGTAGTTCAGAACAAAACTGATAGCAGACTAGACTATGGTGGTGGCACTGAAGAAGAGGAGATAGATCAGAAATCTACTTCAAATTCAGAACAGCAAGTGCACAGGGATTAAGCTTGGGAGGTTAAGAAGAAGGTAGACTCAAGAATTACTCTATGTATCTGGTTTAACCAACTTGGGTTGCCATTTTCAGAGCTGGAAAGACCAGGGGAAAGTAGAGAGGGAGACCTAGGGGTGAAACTAAGAGTTTCATCCAGAAATATTAATTTGGTGACACGTGTGAGACATCCAAGTAAAAACGTCAAGTAGGCTTCTGCATAAGTGAATCCAGAGATCAAAGGAGATGGCTGAGCTAGAGATATAAACATGGGCACCACCAGGAGCTGGCAGAGATATTTAAAGAAAGGACAAAAATGGACTTAGTGTCATCAACAATTGGAAAGCAAATGAAGGAGAAGAGTCTAGACTGAGAAGGAGTAGTCATCGGCTGAAAGGCATTCAGAAAAGTGTGGTGTCACAGAGCCAGACGTATCAGTGGATTCAAGAAGGCAGTCATTAGCTCTGGTAGCAATGCTGCTGATAAGCTGAATGATAAGAAGACACAGTGGTCATACATTGTGGAAACACAAGAATAAAAAGGTTGTTTTACTAGAGGAAGAAGCCAGAGAGGTGGGCATGGGTTGCAGTGTAATGTGAAGTGAGGAAATGGAGATAGCTGGTATTGCCATTTTCTTCAGGAAGACTTTCTATGAAACAGAGATGGTGATATGAACATCAAAGGAGAGTTTTTTAAAGACACGAGAGAGTAGATATAATGTTATTGTGATGGAGACAACTCAAGGGAAAAGGATTAATGCCCAGGGAGAGGAAAGTAGTTCAAATGCTTGGCTGCACAGTGGGACCACCTGGGGAGCTTTAGAAATTACTGAGGCTTCAGTCTCCTCACTCAAACATTATGAGGTAATTTGTCTCAAGCACAGCATGGGCTTCAGGGTACTTAAAAAACTCTACAGCTCATTCTTGAAGCCAAGACTGAGAAGCACTGACTTCCAGAGCAAAACCCTTGAGTGGCTGAGACCCAAGAAACAGATGTCTGAAAGGCTTGACAGGTGGCATTTCCCGTCCTCCACGGTGACAGGAATAAAGCAGGAAATGGGAGAAAACATGGGTTTTCTGGATTCCACTGAATCAAGGAGGATGAAGAAAGGTGAGGTTGTTGCCCTTGTGTGAGTCTCTTTTCCTCAGTGAAGTGTAAAACAAAGTCATTTGTGGAGAACAAGAAGCAAGGAAAAAGGAGACATGAGAGTTGGAAGTGGGAAGTGGGCTTATTACAGAAACTCAGAACACAGAGAAACTACCACAATTCCCCTAATTCCTTGGCCTGTGAAATTCCAAACATTTTTGTAAATTCCTTGGGGGTTTATGTCCTTACGGCCATCTCTGCCTCTAGAAATCCTACTTCTCCCAGTGCTAACACATATGCTACCTCAAAACCAACAGATCAGTTCCACAAAACATCTGTAAATGTCTAGAAATTAATTACAATTTGATGTGGAAGATGAGGGGAGAAAGATTTACCCTGATCCTCAAACTTGGCGTGTATCAGAATCACCTGGAGGGTTTGTTAAAACAGCTTTCTGAGCAGCATCCTGATGTTGAGTAGGTCTGGGGTAGGGGCTGATAATTTGCTTTTCTAACCATACCCAGGAGATGCTGATGATGCTATTCAGAGACCTCACTTAGAGAACCTCTGGTTTACATAATAATCATAAATCAATAAAGACAAAACAGAGGGTAATGTTTTTACTCTTAAAATTGTATTGACTCCTCCCTAAACTTAATCCCAGTCTCCCCCTCTCTTACTGTCACTTTGCTCTTCCCTCCTTTTCTTCCTTGTTCTCCAAACTTCACTCCCATCCCCTCTTCAGAGCAAATTCTCATGTAAAGCTGTTCAGCCAGTTTTTTCTTTTTATTTTGTTGTTTGGGCTCCTCCAACAGTCAGGCTTTTGGAGACCACACACTTTTGGAAGACCATTCCATTCTCTCCAAAAATTTCCAAGGTCAGCTTTTAAGATAACTTTTTATATTTTTATATCAATATTCACTGATATCTCCCAGGGAATGTTAATGAAATGGCAGAAAGAGATCATCTCATTGCACTCATTGTGTGATTTTTCCAGCCTAGAAGCTAAGGCATAATCCAAAATATCTGTATCATGAACTCCACACACACTCAAATACATAGTAGCCTGACAATCACCAGGTTTTGTGCATGCATATGCTAATTCATAACAAGGGACTCTTAGAGATATGGTCTGACAATTGGAAAGTAAGCAAAAAGAGAGGAGTTTGGCCACTGCTCAAGTGGAAAAGATAACAGAAGAGCAAATCAGAAATTGTCAAAAGAGAACAGGATGAGCAAGATACTGAAGCATAGCACACTCAATGTGAAAGTGATATCCAAGGTGGCTTAGGACACTGGGTTGAAATGTTATGGGCACATACAGTGCTTATTGATAAAAGAATGCTGCCAGGAGCCCTTCATCCTGCTTTGCATTCATAGACAATCTATCCTCCTTAATCACTGAATCATTAATAGGGATGAATAGCAATACCACACTAGTGAGGGCAGGGACAGATGCAGGGGGAGTTTTTGTCCAGGTTTTTCAATTCATTAGCACCCAATGGGCTTAAGATCCATTCCATAAGGGAGCCCTTCTCCAGGAGGTTGGAGAGTTGTACCCACAAAGGCAGCAGGTGTGAGTTGGACAGTTACTGTGAATTCATCTTGTTCTTCTGACCACTCAGAAACTGGATTATTGCATGTATTTTACTATTTAAATTCAGAATGTTCCAGATTGGTAGTTTAGCCTTAGTGCCAGACAGTATGTTCTGAACAATGTAGATGTCCCATACCTGTGCTTTGTACTCCATCCAGGG